TTAAACTGACCTTCGCTATACTTCCCTGGCCAGAGCCGCCTTCCTGCTCTAACACCACCCCATGCACTTCACCCCTTTCCCCCTCTTCTGCTCCTGCAATTGCTTTTCACGAGTTTTCATTCCTAGCACCTTGTCCACATGCCCTCCCACGTTTCAAAACACCCGCCAACAAGAAACCAATGGGAAATCTCTGAGTAGGGTGTCCCCCTCCCCAACCCCCACCCCCTCGGAGTTGGCTGGACACACTTTTTGGTGCTGGAGCCAACAGAGAATGCAGCTTCCTGGCCCACAGCCTGAAGTTCTGGAGGAAATGGCCACCATGTGAAAAACATGGGCAGGCTTACAGCACAGCTCCAGTGGGCCGTGCAGAACCAAGGCAGCCACGTGATAGTCGCACGCCAATGTGAGTGCTCTCTGGGAGCTCCAACTTGTGGGCCAAGGAAACTGTCAAGCAGAGGCCAAAGCTTTGGCCTGAGCCGCAGGCAGTCAGGGGGCATTAATTGCAAGTAATTTCTTAATGTCCTTCTGCAAACTTTCAGGAATGATAGCGATTTTGCAAATTAAAACTTGCAATTGTTTAAAAAGGAAAAAGAAAAAAAGCAGGTAAGTTAATCACTGGATTAACAGGGCAATTGTAACACATTTTTTCTGCATTGCTAGTTTCTATAATTAAGTCAGAAACCAAGACACCCTTCCCAGGATACCTTCAAGTTGACTAAAAAAGTACCAATAGCCTGTATCGACATAAAATGTAATTCCAAGTAAGGCGATGGGACCTGCCAATGGGCAAGAGGGTCTTCCGGAGGAGATCACTTCTAGGAACTCTCTCTACATGTAATGTAGCCAGTGATATCGTTGGAAAGTACATGTTGATGCAGCGTTATACTTTTCTCAAAAGATATTTATGTTGGGGGTACAATATTGTGAGGACAGCTTAATGACAGTGTTTGCTGTCTAGACGACCTCTGATGTTTAACGGACCCTTAGCTCTTTGTGCATCTCGGATTCTTCCAACTGTGGTCTGCTGAAGTACAGCTGGATATGTGAGAAGTACTTCTAACAATTTCTGTTGGAAATTATGGAGACAAAAACTAGAACAAGGAGGCAAAAAGGTGTGCCCTTGGGAGTCTGTGTGTGAGACCAGGCCAGCTTCAAGGCCACTGATTCAGCTGGAGATCTGAACAAGCAAAGACAACACCCACCCCTGCATCCACTGCCTGACTTGTCGCCCATGTGTCCTGGGCTTGGGGTTTCCTGCTGGAGTTGGGGGTATTGGTTGAGAAATGGGGTATTTTCCATGACAAAAGGGAAAAGGTCATTTGGGGGGAGAAACCATTTTATCACAGACCTTTGCAAATGACCACGACACATGGTCTTGCTTGTTTCCCCCTTGTTCAGAGAGAGAACATTTACAGCGACCTCTCCTTAGGAAAGAGGTGTTTGAAGCATGCTGTGCAAAGCAGAGCTCATCCTAGCAGGTCAGACCAAACATCTGCACAACCCTCGCATCTCTGTGACTCTCCAATTCCTAGGCCAACCTCTACGCTAAGAACTCTTCTCAGGTGTCTCTACGGGGGGCGGGGGCCCTCTGAAGGGCCTGGGGACAGAGTGAGCCATCTGTTAGTCTCCGGAAATGTCTCTAGGACATTAAGTAATGAGATTGACTCGCCATTGGCCATCCAATGCCCATCAGCTAAAAAAAGTGTGATTCGGTTTTATCATCCAGTGTTTCAAAAACTTGTGAGCCAGTAACTGAGCCTTTAGGGAATACAGGTGCTACATCATTCGAATTAACCCGATTCACTTCCCAGAGCCAACACCCCCAAATGTGTAAGCTGGTAGCTAGATTCCTTAACTGGAAACAGGTGTCATGCCTGGCCCCTCCAGCGAAAGTATTCAGCAGAGGTCCTCGGAAGAAAGCCTATTGACTTGGAACAAGCCAGACAACTCTTCGCAGAAAAAGTTCAATTCCATTTGGAAAGGGAACCTCCATGCTGTAACTGGTTAACTTGACTTCAGTCCGTCCCAGCTCACTCCATGGTGCCAGGGCTTCTGGGAGACTTCTGTGGCATCTTTACCCTAACTCATTCAGCAGACACAGAGACCCAACGAGGAATGATGGTTCAGTAAGCAAATGAAATTTAAAGAGCCAATTTGCAGTGGGCCTGCATTTGGAGAACTGGGCTATTTTTGTCCTTGTTTTTAGCAGCAAATCAATTCCTGCCTAGATTCAGGAGCATTTGTGAAGAGGATCGCAGGGAAACTGCAGGCACAGCTGTCCAATTTACAATCGCAAATGCAGGTGTTGCTCAGGCACAAAACAGAGGTCAACTGAGTGCTGCTCCTAATTAGCTACCTTTTCTACTCAGATCTTTCTCTGTAAAGTTATGCATGCAATTTGGGCTCCAACTCAGAGACCATTCTTTTTTAGATCCCAGCATGCTATCCAGAAAGAAATGGGGTTGTCATTGTAAAGCATAATCCACAGCATAGTTAATTTTTACGTTTTTTTAATCTACATTATACCTAAGGCAAAATTCTGTTCTGCACACACATTAGTCTCTTCATTTTCCAATTATGCCTCCATATTTAAAGGTGTAGGGTTTTGTCATAAAAAATTTTTTTTCATGTAGGAATGGGAAAAATTTGCCCTTTGTCTAACATTAAGAAATTCTATAATTTTAATAATGAGGGCTAACACCAGTAAGATGTGGTTCTACGACAAGACGTTGCTATCGTTTTCAGTGGGGAGCACCATGGGGCTTATAAAAGAAGTTCTTAGAAATGGCAGGATGGAGACTAGTATCTAATGTAATCCATTAGGAAACCCAAGCCCTCAGAGAAATGACCGCAAAATCCTATCAGTTAACAGAACTGCAGCAGCCGTACATGTTTATTGTAATGCAATATAATATTGGTGCAAAGATAACCCTTTCAGAATTAGAAGAGGGGGAAAAAAAGAACCCCGCAGGTGATGTGACCAGTTAATTTCTCTACTTGGAAATGGAGAGCACTGGCAGCACTCGGCAATACATGAATAAGCATGACATTGCAGCAGAGACATGTATGGCATGTACACTGATGGGCTGCAGGGGTCTGCAGCAATGTCACTGGCTACCCATCAAGCCACTGTGACTGCAGCTTTAGCACACTGACCAAAGGCCTACCCCAATTATCTTCTGATGAGCAACTGAACGGGACTGATCCTCCACCCCCACCCCACCCCTGCTGAGAGATTGCCTGCGGTGAGTATTCCAAACCCTGCATCTGTGACCCACTTTTCACAAATGAAGGCTGAGAAGTTAAGGGCAGTTCAACTTTACACCGAGGTAACAAATGCTAACCATGTGATCCTAAAATGCTAAGTGCCTCTAAGGTTTCCTAAAGTGAAATTGCTGTGCAAGGTGTATCGTGTAGCATCGGGGTTGTAACAAATTCATCTCGGCTAGATTTGACTCACTATCAGCAGCAGCCTGTCAGGATTCAAACCCATAAGCCTACAACATGGAAGAAAGACAAAAACCCCTGTTCTAGAGCCATCCTCTGGAATGGAATGCAAAGTATTGTGTTGTGGTAAATAGGACTTTGAAGAAGAAAGCCCAGAGCTGAGAACTCAGCCCGGGAGATGGGGTCTTGGGGACCATCATATTTCTCTCACATTAAAACTAAGTGTGGCTCCCCAAGTATGCTGCTCCACCCTCCTCCCCAGCCCCCACCCCCAACTCCTCCCCAGGGAAAGTGAACTTGACCGGACTGAGGACTGGGGTCTAAAAGGATTCCAAACCATTTCCTCACCTGCCTCTCAGTGTTGGTGACGCTTATGAGCCTCATCCTTCGTGACTGCTACTAAAAGTCCACCCCAGTGAAATTCTGCAGCCTACTTCTTTGGGCATGAGGCTGTTTTTGTTTTTCGGGCAGGAGGTGATGTGCTGCCACAGAGCTCCTTGGCACGCAGGTAGCCCACGAAGAGCAGGGCAGGACGGCCGACATCTATCAGTCGGTGTGGTTTTTGGTTTTTGTTGTTGGGTGTTTTTTTCAATCATAATTGTTTGCTTCAAGAAAGGACAGATTTTGTTCTTGCATTATGGAAATGGAAATGCTTAGCGGAACGTGGATGATTTTACTAATGAAGTAAGCCCGTTACAGATCAATGGTCAATTATCAAGGCCTGGCAACTGATTTCAGGGATTGGTAACAGAATGCTATAGCTTCTCTAAGGGTTAAAATATCAGTGGTGGTGTATGTGAGTGTGTGTTGTGTTGCGACTATGGAAAACACCATGCATTCCATTTTCCATAAACGGTGGTTAATAATCTCCTAAATGGTCATTTTTCGACCCTGAAATGTCTTTTAACAATAAAGCCAACCTCTAACTGCGGCGGTCCCTGTGTTCATCAACCAAGCCTCCTCCTAACGGGTGGCTCATCTTGGTGCATTAATCAATCCACCGTTCCACTGTCTCACCTGTTCTCAAAACCCATCATTTTTAACACGATTATAAGGTCACTCTTGACTAGAATATATGGGTCAGTTTTTGGAAAAAAGCAAGAGCGATCTTTCCATTGGGAATCGGTATTCAACTGGGTGAACTAAAGCTTTCTGGCCATGCTCAGGTGGCTAGTTCCTGGTCCTGTTATAGAAATCTCTCCCACTTAGCTTGAACGTACTCTAGTCTGTGCATGACTGCAGGAGACACTGTCGCTCAGGGTGCCAGCTGGGGTCCCCGCGTCCTCACCCGATTCATTCAACCTCTCAGAATTCAAACACCAAGCCAAGAGAAACTGAAGGGCAGGGTACACAGGAGAAGGGGTGGGGGCGAGGGTGGGTTAGGGTACTTATTCCAAAAGGTTATGTGTGGCAGAAGGAGAGAGCAGACAAGAGAGAAGGCGTCGGAGGGCAAAGCTCAAAGGGCGCCGTGTCCTCGGCTCGGAGCGGAAAGGCACTGGCGCACTGGTGCGGGGAGGCCTGCGGAAGCTGGCGCGCGCGCGCCGTGCTCTTACCTTGTTCCTCTTGAAGTAGGCGCGTCGGCAGGCCGCGAAGCACTTCTCGCTGCAGAAGCTTTTCACGTCGCTGCCCATGCTCAGGGAATAGCGCTTGATTCCCACTTTCTGGCACCAGGCACACATTATTTGTACATTTGACACATCATCTTCTATAACAAAAGTATAAGAAAAATGTTCATATCAGAAGCAAACATCCCTTCAAACGTAAGACACACCCTGAACCTGACAGAAGCTACTCAGGACTCATTTTAAATGGTTTCTGTCTCACACTACTTCCGGACCTGGTAGGACAGCCAGCAGCTCTTAAGGGGAGTGGGGGGGCGGTGACAGGGGGGTGGCTCAGTTCTTGATTTTCCCTCTTTCTTTCTTTCATTTTCTTCCTTCCTTCCTTCGATCCTCCTCCTTTCTTTCTGTTCCTAAATTTCTAAAGGGCATCGTGGACTTAAAAGCCAGAGCATGGCTACAGAGGCCTGAGGCAGGTCCCAGGGCTTCTTAACCTGGTTAAAGTACATCATCAGCCTGGAGAAACCAGCCCCGGGACTAAGGAAGCTTGTGAAATGACCCCTTTCGGTTGGGGTCCTGCAGAAAGCTGATAGGCTCGGCATTTCGGGGAGGGGAGGGTCGACACTCGGAGGGACCCCATCCATGTGGTGATTAATGCCTTGTGAAACCTGACAACCAGGCGCTGGGCTCAACCAGGACGTGTGCCCTCGAATCGTTGGTGATTTGGGGGCGTTGTTTCCTTTTGCAACAAAGCAATTCCAGATGATGTGCTTGTTCTGAGAGGGATAGAAGTGAGTGGCCAGATTGTGGTGGCAGAGAGGGATGGTGGGCTGCCGGAGCAATCTCCTAGGCGCTGGTCCCCTCGGGGAAGCCGGGCCTGGCTTCCGTTCTCCTCCACGGGACGGGCTCATGTTGCCAGGATGGAGGGAGGGTAACGGGGATGCCAGCCAGGAGACCCCAGGTCCCTCCGCTGCCCACATCCTTCTCAACCAGACCGGCGATCTCCCTAGTTCCACCCCGAGTCATGAGGATGCTCAGACAAGATCTAGGTTGAATGCAAACATTTTAAATATTTAACATTTTCTCTCTTTTCCTTCGGTGTGAGGAGAAAACAGACTCAACGGGTTCATGGTAGCACTGATACAAGATGGCTTTTAAATGTTCGTGGAAAAGGGGGAATTGAAAGCTAATGCCGTTCTTCCGTGAACTTTTTAAACCAAAGATTTAGGTAAGAAGACATGAAACAATTGCCATGGAGAGAAGCAAATGGCAGAATGATGGGAAGCACAGATCAGCCTGAAGAGCTAGGGGTGAGAGAGGCTTTACGTGAAAGCCTAAGAAATATTTCCTCGCTGTCTCCCAGGGGCTTTTGTTACAGCTTGAATTTTGTCTGTCCTTCCAATGGGCAGTGTGTGGGTATGACTGACTGCAACTACTAGCCTCCTCTCTGGTTCCTTTATAGATTTTTTTTTTCTTTTGTACTAACCCAGGTTCATGCTCCAGACCTGGGAGGTAATCACAAAATCCCCCAAACAAGCTCTGGTACAGTGCTGTCTGATTTTTGAATAAAATCCCCCAAAGACTAATTGCTAAGCATGGATGGTCCTTGAGTTGTTGACACATTCGTGGTTCATAGAATCTGCCATGCAATCACTCCATTTCCAGGGGAAAGATTTGGTTGGAGGCAGTGCGGTCACCAGCCTGCAACATTAGCAGCAGACTAATTTGTAGTGCAGCGATAGAGCTCTATCCCCCTGAGGGTCATCGCTCCGAACTGTGCACAGGGCTTTATTTACCTTAATGGAATAAATATTGTCACTTTAATGATCTACATTTTATTTCACAAATTACATAGTGATTTATTGTTAATTATCAACCGAGACCATGTGAAAATGACCTTTCATTTTAATCAAACATCTTTTGAAAACATAACTTTCTTTCGGTGGAGTCAGAGCACATTCATCCGGATTTCGTATAATTACACATTTTGTAATTTGCTCTATTTAAAGAAAGCCTCTATTTCGTACGATTCCTAGCATGGCACCTGTCTGCACATAGACATTTTACAGGGCAGGAGAAATTAGCAAAGCTCTATAATTTGCTTTGAAGGGGGAGAAGTTTTTAAAATCTGATTAGAAAGTCAGTCTTTAAAAATAACCACCAGTAGGTACTACACTAACTGTGACTCCTAATTGTTTCTATTTTCCCCAATGGATAAGCTGCCGGGACCCCTTAAGTTCCTGAGAAAAGAGGTAACACAGCAGACGCTCACAGCTGAACCAAGAGCAATAAGCCCGATTCTGGTGACATCGGTGAATGAAGACCATTTGACAGGGGCATCACATGGCCTCACCGGCTCAGTAGGGAGGCCTCACTTCCCCAGGAGCCACCCGAGAGTGTGCATCGGGCTCCCTCATTGTTTCTTTATTAAATATTCTGGTTAGGGAGACAAAACATAGAGTTTTTAGATCCTAGGTCTTTATTGTGGGCTCAAACTGAACTGAGAGCAGTGCTGAGACCCAGCTGGGTGCTTCTCCTCCTCTCTAAACTGCAGGGACGATGCTGGGGGGCAAAACCACAGCTTGGAGGGCACGCCCATGCTTGATCCCAAGGGCAACAGAGAGAGCCACTGGACAATTTTATAGGTGAAGCAAAAGTACTTTTGTAGACAGACGTAACCAATAAACCAAAAAAGTCAATATATTTTTTTTTTAAGATCATTTGTGTTAAGTCATTCTTACGACCAAGTCCCAATCTGGGAAGATGAGGCAGAAGCAATTGTGCACGTTTGTGTCTGGCAGTTAGAAAACACTGAGAAGGGTGGTTGGCATCTGTCTTGTTGAATAATGCAGCATTCCCATCCATTATTCTCATCACATTCCATTTCATACGAGCAAATACCTTGGAAAACTTCCATTAGATCTCCCCCTTTTCTGTCATCAGATTGGTACCAAAGGCTGCTGATCCCAAGCAGCGTGTGGAAGGTGGGTTATCCCCAAAGCTCACGAGAACATTCCCGTCATCTCGGTCTCCTCTTCTTATGAAAGTCATTTCTGGTCATATGATATTGAAGAAGCCAGGAAAGACCTAGATTATTTTAGTAAGGTGGTTGCTACATTACTTTCAGCAGCTAACACAGAGCTGAAAAGTCTCTTGCCAGCCATGAAGCAGTGTCCCCATCTTAACAATAAGACCACACCCCTAGGACAGCGTGCCTTTCTTAAATCCATAAATCCAAAGGGATTGATCATTTCGATAATCGCATCTTGACCCTACCTGGAATCTGAGAGTGGCATTGATAACTGATTTGGGCCAACTCGAAGACCCCAAGCATGTTTCCATTTCCAACTTTATCTGCTTAGAATTGGTTTGGCTCGCTGTTCTTTACTGTGATTTTTTTTTTAAGTTAATTCTTCAAACTACAAAAAAAAAAACCTCCCAGCTTATATTTACACCAAGTGGTTTGTGCCGTGAGAGGCGAGAGGCTACTTCCAAGACACTTCACATAGTATCTTTCTCCTTACAGAAAAACCTGTGTGTTTTTCATAATGAACAATGCCACAACAAACACAAAATGTTTAAACCATTAAATCGCATTCCCAAAGAGAACGGTTTGTATAACATGATAAAATTTTCATATGATAATATCGCATAAATATGCATCAGTCAAAATATGCATGTTTCAGTTAATCATGAAAAGTTTGTACCACCTCTTTAGAATTTAATTAAGCAGAGTGTTTGAGGGCATTTTCTTTCCAGTCTAATGTTGAAAGAACTATAGAAACATGTTTTCTACTTTAAATCCCAGAAGGGGAAGTTCAGATTAATCACTCTGAGATGAAGTCAAAATTGTATTCATTTATTACAGTGCACAGAAGTATGAGATCAAGCACTTCTGGGTGCCTCGCTGAAGCTGTCTGAGAAGTTGCCTTATCTGGGGACTTGTAAAGGAAGAATGGCTATTGGTCAGTAATCGTCTAGGGGTGTTTGGAGTAACTGCGAACAAACACCTTAGGTTACCTGACAAGAACCCTCCTCTCGCCCCACCCCCCACCCCCAATCTACTACCCACTCACTGCCACAGAGTCGACGCCGACTCACAGTGACCTTGCAGGCCAGGGAGAACTGCTCCTGTGGGTTTCCAAGACTGGAACAGTTGACAAGAGGAGAAAGCCCTTTCTCCCGCAGAGCCTCTGGGGGGTTTCAAACTACTGGTCTTGCTGATCACAGCCCGGGGTGTAACCTATGCCACCAGGAGAGTCTTAATAGACTCCTAACGATTAAACTGTCGATTTACCATCCTTTGTAACTCCCATAGGATTATACTACTGATGGGAAATTCTGGAAGTGCGAATACTGACTGTTGATGCCAAACTCTTCCAATAGTTCCCAGAATGCGCACATGCAGACACTCCTTTTTACAACTAAGTTGCACCTGGAACAATTAGCCAGGGAGTTTGAGGGGACTCCTGCATGCCACACACACCCCCAAACTGAAGGTAGGGCCTGAGCACCAACCACCCTTTCCGACCATCTGTGGGAGCATTTAAGAATGGAATAAAGGCACCGCCTATAAGGTGCTCAGAGAACGACATTAGTGTTTGCTTCCTTGACAGCCCTCTGGGAACTATTCCATTTGAAACACCTTGAGACAGTCCAATTTAAATGTCTATAGAGTCTTCCAAAGGCTTCTGTCCAAACCCTTATGTTCTAGAAGTAAGTACACCAGGAGACTGTTGGAGAAAGCCAGACCATTGAGCCAAGAGGACAATGAGCATACTAGCGGTTCTCCAATAGTTAGTAGGTGGCAGGCACCATGCAAAGTGCTTTAAATCTATCATATTCCATCTTCATCTCAACCACTCATCTGAATGCAGGAACAGACCTTATCCCCGTCATGCGGATGGAGCACCCGGGTTTGGAAGCTAAGTAACTTATTTCAAAGCACACACTGACCATAGACCAAAACCCAAATGAAAGCTAGAACCCAAGGTCTTGGGCTCTACATCCTGCTAGGTAAAGGGGCACTAAAAGAGAGGAAGACCCCCAAGAAAAGATGGAAGGGCACAGTGGCTGCAACAATGGGCTCACGCGCAGGGACCATTGTGAGGCTGGCGCAGGACCGGGCAGCGTTTCGTTCTGCTGT